ATATATATATATATATATATATAAATCTTTTAAGAGGTTTTTTCAAAACTCCCTCACCAGAAAATCCAAACATGTTTTATGACTAAGTAAGCATAGATAAGAATATTTACATGTGCTGTAAATCTGAGTAAAAAGCACATATAAAAATAAAAGCTGAGAGTTTGAAGCCCTTTCTGTACAATGCTGATTGTTGGCCCTGAGTACCAGTCCTACCCCCATTTTAATCCAATTTGGACACAGACTATGAATATGTATGTGCATCCTGAGGCCACGGCAGCTTGTTTTCAGGATTTTTTTTCAGGCCTCTTTAATTAACAGTCCCTCTCAGACGCCTGGTGTGGCTTGATTGAGAGCAAACCAAATCGGTTATGGCATGCCATTCATTTCTACATCATACACAGTTGCTGTTATCCAACAACGTGCACCACCATGTTTTTATTATTTTATTATCATTATTGCAGCCGTGGCACTGATAAGATAACACAGCTCCTGGTTTGAAGAAAGAGATTGTCTTTGTGCCGTCACCACGAGACAAAGAAACAACAAAGTAACATCTTCAGAATATTTTGACTTCACTTGTGATACTGAGGCAAGCTAAAGCCAGTCTCTGCCATCTGGTTTTCTAACGGCCTCCAGGGAAATATCAGTCCTTCTGTAAAAGGAGAAATCCATGTGGTCACTGTGCAAATGGCTAATTCACATCTCAATGAGGTCTGGGAATTTCTCCTTATGTGTCAAACTGCATCTAAACACCAGATGTTGAAAAACTCTGCTCAAATCACTTTTTGCTTTAGAAGATGTTTGACAGGCAGCAATCTGGCATGTAGTTTGTTGCAAATGTCTCTACAGATAAACAATAAGGCAGCAGAGAGACTTAAACAGATATTTCATAGTTTAAAGGCTTCATATGTCTATCCATCTTTTGGTTGGTGGTCCTCAGAGGCTGAACAAAGCCACAGCAGTGCTTAGAGGTAAATCCCTACACCAACATGCAGATATATTCTCATACATGAGTCTGTCCTGTGCAGACACACAAGTATGTGTTATCCCCTCACATGCTGACGAGTTTCTGTTCCTGGACCAAACCCTGCTGATGTTGTGAATATGATCAAAAATACTGCTTGTGTTGCTGAACGACTCCGATTGTAAATTTGTTCTGTCTCACCTGTTTGAGACAGCTAATAATATTTGTTTTTAAATTGTGTATTTGACCAAACATTCATGTTTAAAATGTAATTACAGTCAGTGAAAAAAAAAAAGTCCACACTCTTTCAAATCTAGAGTTTTATGTACCAGCACATAAAAATCACCTGGGTTCTAAAATGTTCAAATCCAAACTCATGTCTACAAAAACACGCAACAGAATCTAAGTTATGATTTATTAAACTGAAACAAAGCCAGAATAGGAAAGCTGTATGTGAAAGTTTATCTTTGCTGCATCTCTTTGATTTAGCAGAGAAATGATCATCCAGGATGATCAGATGATCATCATCAGTGTGATCACCTCTATAAAAGCAGGTGTTCTGTTAGTTTGCTGCTCTGGCGTTCACTGGTGTGTGTTAACAGAACGCCAAGATAAAAGACATCAAAAGTACTTTTTTCCATTTTGGCTTTGTGTTTGTTAAAAAAAACAATGACAAGATGGAATCTGTATCTCAACAGATTTAAATCCTTCTGTGCTACTCCATTTCCCTGGCATTTATTTAACATAAATAACATGTTGGTGTTTTGCAGGAATTATGAGCTTCTCTCAATATGAACATCAAACAATTTACTGCAATATGAAATTAATTTTTTAAAAGTCTGGACTAAAGCAGTTTAAAAGAAAAGCAGGTGAAACTGACCACTGATGACCTGTCCAAACAGCTCCTCTGGTGTATCTCCGAAGAACGGGACACATCCTACAAGGAACTCATAGAGGATGATGCCCATAGCCCACCAGTCCACTGGTTTCCCATAGCCCTGTCTCAGGATCACCTCTGGTGCAATGTATTCTGGAGTTCCACAAACCTGTGAGAAAAACACAAACATATCCAAAACATTATGGGTTTTTTTTTATGTGGGAACAAATGAAACAGTCCAAGGGTTCGACAATATTTACCTGCTTATCAGAGAACTCCCTGGCATCTTTTTCTATATGCCCCTCATAGAGGTTAGTGGTCATGTTCATCAGTCCAACTTTAGAAAGACCAAAATCTGTCAGCTTGATGTGTCCCATTGAAGTCACCAGCAGACTGAGACAGAAAAAGATTCAGTTCATTAAAATTATTAATAACTGTTTTAATAAATAACAGTTTTGATAGTTTTAATTAAGACTAATTTAGCAGGAGGCGGTGTCGGCTTGTCAATACATATTGATGAGCTGACACCGCCTCCAAACATCAGCTGTGACACCTCTGATGAAGACGGAAGCACACGTCCAAACATGTCAGGTATGTCTGTACAGACATAAAATAACAAAGTGTCTCTTACCAAGAAAAAATTTAAGATTTATCATATAGACACAATGAACTTCATGATTACTAATTTAGGAGTTATTTTAAATGTAAATCTTGCATTTTAATTGGATTCTGTTTAAATTCATTAGTCGTAACAGGGTTCCTACAGTTTAAGGCAAGTTAAATTTAAGACTTTTGAAGACTTTTTAATGCCAAATAAAACTAAATTCAAGACCAATTTCACAATAAACACAAAGGACAAAAAATAATGGCAGAAACTCATGAGTCAAAGTATTTTTGGTTGAAGTATTCAAATATTGCTAATAAACCAATTGTTTTTAACCAACTGTTTTTGGTCAAATATAGCAAAAAACATTAGCAGTCAGTTTTAAACTTAATTTAATTCCTGGAAATTCTCTAACAACCCAAAACCTGGAGCTTTAGGACCCACAGTGGGGTCTTAACCCCAATTTGCTGTAGATGAAACCTTAAAGTGCCTATGACACCATTTTTTTTTTTGTAAGAAACATGAATGCATTTTTGGATAGACAACATTATTAACATATTAAGAAACAAATTTCACATTGCTCAAATGGACAGTTGTTGAGATATTTGCATGTAAAATAACGGGAAGTGATGTCAAAGAGGAATATCGGCATGTGAATATTTAAAAAATAAATAAATGTTACCAATTATTTTAATATTTGAGATGAATTACAGTCATCCTACTTACAAAGTTTTAACATTTTTAAGATGTTTGAAAGATTGATTTAAGACATTTTAAGGCTAATTAAGGCCTTAATTTTGGATTGATGAATTCAAGGCCTTTTAAGACTTTTTAAGGATCTGCAGGAACCCTGCAGAAACTGTTTTAAATTCTGTCAGAGGAAAGATTCAGAACAGGTTCAGCTGAATTATCACTTTCTCATTCTGAGTTTGCACTACAGGAAAACTCCCTTTGAACAGAAAAAACATCATCTGAACCAGGATAAGTCCACCTGCCTGGACTCTGTATGTGTGCTATTGAAAACAAATATTTTGCAACTAACTCAAATCTGTCAGATTAATTGATCTTGCTGCCATTGTGTAATCATGGTGGTTTTTCTTACCTAAATGAAGCTAGCAGGGCAATTCCTAGGGGTAATATCATGTAAAATCAACTTTTTTGAGTTTTATATCATGTTATAATGTTATCCTCTCATAAAAAACATGTCCAAAGCCTTGCTTTGACTCATTCACACATGTTTGAGAAATCCTGCAGTGTTTTTATGAAGCCATGCTGAGGAGCAAAACGACAGGTGGGGACCAGAAACACCTTTTGGGACCAGAAACGCCCCTGGGACGGGTCTTTAAGCTGAACTTCCTCATGGCAGAGTGCACCCCCCTGCTCCCCACACACCCCGCCCATGACTCCTGCAGGCTCTCGGGTGAAAGTAAAAGTGAAACCTAACTGTCTGCTGAGCTCTCAACATTAGTTCTCACTCAGTGAAGCTCTTTTCAGATTAAAATACCTTTGAGGAAATGTATTTTCAGATGCCAAATAAACTGCATCATAACAGAGACCAATTTCAAGGCGTTTAGAAGAGGAAGTGATGAGAAGATAAGTTTATTTTCTATTTAAACATAAAAACAGCATTTTAATAACAGATAAAGGTGACATAGATACTTTATTATGGTATATTATTTAAATATATGCCTGAGAAACACATAATATTGCCCCTTTAAGTCTAACGTTTTGATTTGCTTTGCTGTCGATCAGTTTTAAGGATTTTTTGTGGCTAAGAAAACAACCTGCTACCTGATTACAAACCTAATATGCATGAAGCTGTAAAGTCAACAATATTTCACAGTGTTTATCATCAGTTGGAAATATTAATAATGATCAAGGTCTTACTTGTCAGGTTTAAGATCTCTGTGGACAATGCCGTAGTTGTGAAGATACTCCAGAGCCAGAACAGTTTCTGCAAAATACATCCTGGCCATATCCACAGGCAGCGGACCCATGTTCTTCAAAAGGGTGGCACAGTCTCCTCCTGAAGTGGAGGAGGGATAGAAGTGTATGAAACAATGTTTTCTCATTCGTTTTAGAACAAAAATGGGAGGTGTACTGCTTCTAGCTCGGGGGTGGACATCGAGGGTCGCAGCTCTGGATGCTTTACTTGTTTCTCTGCTCCAACACACCTGATTTGAATGAATGGGTGATTATCAGGCTTCTGCAGAACTTGGAAGAGGTAATTCAATGACTGGAGCAGGGATAAAAGTAAAACGTGCAGGGCTGTGGGCCTCGAGGACCAGGACTTCCCACCCCCCCGTTCTAGATGCTGCTGCACAACGCACTGAAACAGACACCAACTGACCTTCAACATACTCCATCACCATGCACAGGTGGCGTCGTGTCTCAAAGGAGCAGTACATGGACACAACAAAAGGGTTCTCAGCAAAGGTCAGGATGTCTCGTTCCACAAAGGCCTGCTGGATCTGATTCCTCAGCATCAGATTCTGCTTGTTGATCTTTTTCATGGCAAACCGTTGCTTTGTTTCCTTGTGTCGAACTAAATACACAGCTCTGCAGAATAAAAAGTCAGTCAGCTTTGGAAAGCACTGACTCATCTGTTTAGAAACTCTGATCTCTGTTTAGCAAATTAAAAATACGAAGCATTTTTCTTATTGTGACTTGTTTTGGTTTCATCTTTTACATATCAGAATGCAAGACATTTGTTTTTACCCGTAGGCGCCATTACTGATGAGTTTTATCATCTCAAAGTCTAATTCACAGGGTTTCCTCCTGGACCGCAGAGCTGAACTGAGGCTGTGAGACTGAGAACAAGATGACAGACAAATTTGTTACGAATCAGCATTAAACATGATCAAAACAGGTTTTTACAATATGCAATTTCTGAATGCTTACAGAGTCATCTGTTTCTGGGGTTTCTGCAATCCCACTATCACAACTGGTCAGCTGAGCAATTCCTATAAAATAGGAAATAAAAATAGGAAATGCTTTGCAGTTTTAATCCAGAAAGTTGTTTTGAGTTTTTACTTCGTTTAACCTCACACAGGAGCCACAAACATGTTCCCAGTGCAGTCATTTAAACAAATGTGCAAAATCAGCCCATTCAAGCAGGAGAAAACCAGCAGGCTTTAATCGGATGTTAGCTTTGAGGTGCTGACTCCAACTGAAACTAAATGGAGTGAAAATCATTGGACGCATTTCTAACAGTCGTTTTGAAAACCACCACTCCAGAACAAGTTCTTGTTAGGAGCCACTTTGCATCTTTTCTGTTTTTGTTTGTGTGTTAACTACCATGTGTTCTCCCCATAGAGCCTGGAAAGACATTTTCCCTGCTATTTCACATCTGTCCCTCCTCTGAGGTTTGCTTGTAGGCAAACAAAATGCAGGAGACTGTCGGGGGGTAAAAACGGGCTGACGAGCCAGCCTGTGTGGATCTGGATCCGGTCTGCGGGGAGACCATTCCTTTCTAATTAGTCATAATGAATGTTGTTGGTTTTCAAATCTGCAGGGACAAAGGGTCATTAGACAGACGGTCTGTTCAGTTCATGACATTAGTTATAAGAGCTTTTGTCTTTGAGATTTTTCCACAACTCAGCTCCTAGACTTGTTAATAGGAATGTCACAGGGTGAAAATTAGAACTCACTTAAAGTGAAGTAGTAAAAAAACCTAAAAGAAAAAGTACAAAACTGACAATGGCCATAACACAAAAACATAAATAGCACGACTAATTTTACAGATATCAAGCTAAATCTTAAGTTGTGTTAACAGAGTCATAATTACAACATTCACTAACACATGACCTCATAAGTTACAAGTTTTGACCTGGGTGGTTCTGTCACTTCTCAGCCTTAAGTGATTTTGGTCTAAACCTCTGGCATAAAAGTAGCAGGTACTTCAAGTTTTTGCATCTTCTTCTAAGTATGATAAAAAAATTCTACGCAGTATTTTTGTTTAATTTTTGAGATGATGAAAGCTTTCTGTACCTTCCATGGGATCCCGGGTAAGTCCCAGCTGACTGATGATGTAACGAGGGATGTCTGTTTTGATGCCCTGACCCTCCTTAGCATGTCCTTCAGCTGCCTCCAGAAGGTAATAAAACTCCTCTGGGTCAAATTCCTGGACACACGCAGGTTCTTTGTTAGTTTTACTTTTTGAGGAATGACATAAGACACCAAAGTAGTTGCTTGAGTAACCTTTTTCAAATAAATAAATTAGCATTTTAATTTTAGACTTAACAGCTTGATATTACAAAATCTCAGTTTGAAGTACTTTGACTATTTTTGTATGCTAGTGTGCTTGAACTGTTTATCAATAACAGACGTTCTAATGTGTTTAAGCAAATTAAAAAACAACAAGGTTGATTTTATTCTTTATGTAAGCAGAATAAAACACACTGAGTAAAGAATGAAGAAAATTTCCCCTCACACATGTCAGAGCTTTAGTAAAATCGAAACATACCAGACATTCTAGCAGGCGAGCAGGCCGTGATATCACTATGAGGATCTTCTTCACCACCTCTTTGATGAAGTTCACCTCCTCGCTCTCTGACCTCTCTGTAGACTGAACGACAAAAGGGGGTCTCAGTAATGTGACGTACGAATCAAAGGCAAATTTCATACATTTCTTGTAAAATCTTATTATCACCCACCACCAATATGTTGACAATAATGCCAGTGTTTGTATTTGTATGCTGTTAGACAAATATCTCTTAAATTGCTGGATTGGTTTTAATGAAACTAAAAAGAACACGATTCAAGATGGGTGTCACAGAAAAGTAACCTTACAAAACACAAACATGCCTTTATTCAGTCACTTTTAAAGATATTAAGTTCTGTAAAGTTTATAAAGTATTGTAAGATGTTGTTTTACAGATAAGCAAAGTTGTCCAAAATGCATCTCCCAAAGGCAGCCCAAGATCTTTGTTTAAAAAAATCATTAACATACCTCAAGCAACCAGTCTTTAAAAAAACAGTAAAACAAAACAGTTAAAAAGAGGTTGTACAGTGGGGTGCGAAAGTTCGGGCAGCCTTGTTAATTTTCCTGATTTACCTTTATAAATCATTGATTGTTTGGATTAAAAAATCAGTTAAATATATCATATAGGGGACAAACACAGTGATATTTGAGAAGTGAAATGAAGTTGATATGATTTACAGAAAGTGTGCAATAATTGGTTTAACAAAATTAGACAGGTGCATAAATTTGGGCACCATAAAATAACTTAACTCAATATTAAGTAGCTCCTCCTTTCACAGAAATAACAGCCTCTAAACTCTTCCTACAGCTTCTAATGAGAGTCTGGATTGTGTCTGAAGGTATTTTAGACCATTCTTCTTTACAAAACATCTCTAGTTCATTCAGGTTTGATGGTTTCTGAGCATGGACAGCTCTCTTTAAGTGACACCACAGATTTTCAATAATATTCAGGTCTGGGGACTGAGATGACCATTCCAGAACGTTCTACTTGTTCCTCTGCATGAAGGCCTCAGTAGATTCTGAGCAGTGTTTAGGGTGGTTGTCTTGTTGGAAGATGCAGCCCCGGCTTCAGCAGCTTCAGCTTTGTCACTGATTCCTGGACATTGGTCTCCAGAATCTGCTGATACTGGTTGGAATCCATGCGTCCCTCAACTTTAACAAGATTCCCAGTCCCTGTACTGGCCACACAGCCCCACAGCATGATGGAACCACCATCAAATGTTACTGCAGGTGTTTTTCTTGGAGTGCTGTGTTCTTTTTCCTCCATACATAACGACCCTTGTTCTGCCCAAATAACTATTTTAGTTTCATCAGTCCACAGCACCTTATTCCAACATGAAGCTGGCTTGTCCAAATGTGCTTTAGCAAACCTCAAGCAGCTCTGTTTGTGATGTGGGCGGAGAAAAGGCCTCTGCATCACTCTCCCATACTGCATCTCCTTGTGTAAAGTGTGCTGAATAGTTGAACGATGTACAGTGACTCCATCAGCAGCAAGATGATGTTGTAGGTCTTTGGTGCTGGTCTGTGGGTTGACTCTGACTCTTCTCAACATCCTTCACTTCTGTTTATTCCAGATTTTTCTTGGTCTGCCACTTGGAGCCTTGACTTGAACTGTGCCTGTGGTCCTCCATTTTCTCACAATGTTTCTCACAGTGGAGACTGAAAGCTGAAATCTCTGAGATAGCTTTCTGTATCCTTCCCCTAAACCATGACGGTGAACAATCTTTGTTTTCAGATAATTTGAAAGTTATTTTCAGACTCCCATGCTGCCGCTCTTCAGAGAAGATGCAAAGAGGAGAAAAACTGACAATTGCCCCCTTAAATACCCTTTCTCATTATTGGAGTCACCTGTGTATGGAGGTCAAGGGTCACTGAACTTACCAAACCAAATTTGAGTTCCAATAATCAGTTGTAAATATTTTGAAATCAATAAAATTAGGGATGCACAATATATCTGCATTAATATCGGTATCGGCCGATATTTAAAACTGGGCCGATATTAACATCTGATATTGATTTCCCACCTTTTAGCTTTGTGTTTCTGTTTTGGGAGGAGAGCTGGTTGGTTGAGTGGTATCTGTTTGATCATGATAGTGATACTGATGCTGCGCAGCCAGGAATAACTGAAGTAGAGCCATGTCAGAGGTCTGGTTGTTTATTTCGGTGACAAAAAAAGATCCAAGTATGTTTGTGTGTATATGTATAATATAATTTGTGTGTTTGTGTAATATCAGTAAATATTGGTTATCGGCCATAACAGCTATAATTATATCGATATCGACTGAAATTTTCATATCGGTGCCTCCCTAAATAAAATGACAACAGTGCCCAAATTTATGCACCTGCTTAATTTTGTTTAACCAATTATTGCACACTTTCTGTAAATCATAACTTCATTTCATTTCTCAAATATCACTGTGTTTGTCCCCTATATGATACTGTATATTTAACAGATTTTTTAAACCAAATAATCAATGATTTATAAAGGTAAATCAGAAAAATTAACAAGGCTGCCCAAACTTTCGCACCCCACTGTAATTAAAAAAAGATATGTGAAATAATAAAAACAAAAAATTTTAAACATTCCGTTTTTGACAAAAAAGAGAAAAGTTAAATTCATATTTCTGTTTGACAGAAAAAAACAATTTTTAAAAATTGCTACAAAAGGTTGGCCTGTATTCAGGTTTTTCATTTTGAGCCCTTGTAAAAAAGAGTTTGACCTCCCTCACAAGGACAGAGTTTAACTGAGAAGGTAAGGTCATGTGGCACTGAAGCTCCGTTCTAAGGTTTGAAAAGAAATCATACAGGAGAGATATGTATCTGCTGAGTTTGTGGCAAAAGCTTTTAAGAAAATTTGCTAAAAATCTGGTTTCATTTTGATCTTACAAACCCTTTATCTCATCATGTGAATTGTTTCACTCCAAGTTTCTGCAAAATATTTTACAGCTGTAGCTTTGTAAACCAAGTATACCATTACTGACGCTTTCTAAAAACTCAGTAAAACTCATCTTCCAAATTAAGATGTCTTTAAATTACAATGCTGAACTCACCTCATGAACGAGCCTCTCCAGTTTGTCAGTGAGTTCACAAAAGTAGCTGGAGGTGATGAGTCCTAGGCGGCTCTTTTCCAGACAGTCCCGGGCCAGTTCAATGATCTGGTGGTGGGCAAATCCGAGAACACCATCTGCTAAAGGGAGGAAGCTCTCTGGAGAGTTGCTGCGAATGATTTCTTGAATCTTCTCCTCCATCTGAGCCGTGGCCTGCAGTGAGGGGAAACAGAGTAGAATGATCTGGTTGTAAAGCAAAAGATTATTACTGCTCAATATCAGATGTATCAGTTAGTCTTGACCCTACCTTAGGAAAGCGCTCCTTGTAGACATGATTCATCATGATGATTTCATGATCGTAACACGATGGAGATCTTCCAGGGCTGGAAAAAAATGAACATCAGACTTAAATCAGCAAAAAAGTCCCAAAAATGTTGTTAATATTGATGAAACAATCATGAAGATGCACTCTGAACCTGAGGCTGCGTGAACGGGGTCGCATTGCCGTCGTTCTGTGACATTCATCCCCAGCAATGCTCTCGGTGTAGAAGTGCTTGGAGAGAAAGTGAAGTTCGTCAGGCGTTGGCTGGAAGGGCAGCTGGTGCAGCTTCTCCTGTGATGAACAGGATGACTGGAAATGAAACAAATATATACTCAATGTGAAAAGGAAAAAAAAATTATTATTTTTTTGTATTATATGGATTAAATTTTTTTTGAATGATCGCAGTTCTGAAAAAGCTGGGACTTTGTGAAAAACTTTCAACTGTTTGGGTGAAGTCTGTGGTTTAGCACCATCGTGCATAATTACCGTATTTATTCATGTATAATACGATCTCATACAACCCCTCGTTTTGAGCTTAAAAAGCATAAAAAATTAGTCCTCAAACTACCTCCAATTTCATACAAAGATTTTTCAGCCTTTGCAGTCTTTATACATATCAGTAAAATGATCATTTTATTTTAACAACATAAGTACTAAAAGGCACAGTATTTTGACAATAACTATATATCAGCTGAAGCAGCATCATATGAATTCTGGCATTTTACACATAGTCCACCAGGAGGCGCCAACACAAAAGTCAGAGACTTCACATGAGATTTGGGCCATCTTCTGGGGGAAAGCAGATTACTACCTACTCGCGAGCGCCCCCTCTGGTGGGGAAACTTTTTTCAGGGATACAAACTTTTTCAGAACACCGGTAGATGGCAGCCATTACAGACGAACATGTGTTTGTTGTTGTTCGAGGAGTGGCTCGGTCACACGCTAATGTCATTAGTTTGTTATCATTACTAAGGTGCAGGAATACTTTTTTTCTTTTTTTTTCACATCATGTCTCCTGCCTGGATCTGTTATTATCTCGCTCTGAATCACGGAGGAGTGTCAGAGGTGAGCTCGCTTCAACTGCTTTTTATGACGTGGTCTCATTTAAGGACTCAAGCATTTTGTGAATGAAGCCGATATTTCAGGTAAAATACATAAGTAAAAATATTTATCCGAGTATAGTACTACCCCCCAACTTTATGGATGATTTTATGGATTTAATTTTACGTATTATACTTTAATAAATACAGTATGTCTTTCCTGAAAAAAAAAAAAAAACAACAACTTTGTTTTTGAGCATGCGTTGTTCTAAAACCTGTAGATACTTTTCTCATTTCCTGATGTGTAAACTTCTCATGCCAAAGATCCTAATGCATCCCCATACTGTCAGTGAGGAAGCTGCCCTGTACGCTGATAACACTGGATGGTCCCTTTCCTCTTTAGTACAGAGGACATGGACTGTGATTTCCAAAAAAGTATTTTGAAGGGGTGGTGTTGTGCAAAATAGACATTTTCGAGCTTTGTATTATGTTATAATACCATTTTCTCATTATAAACACCCCTCGAATGTTGCTTTGACCAATCAGGCATGTTTGAAAAATCCTTGAATCTCATGTGGTAGCCATTGGAGCTGCCTAAAGGCTGGTGCTGTTACAAAGCCTGGAGCTCAGTCTGCAGCCAAGCTCCTGCCCCACAGAGCCTCCCTAGAAGCATTTTGTGAAAACGTGCTGAAGTGGGAATGTCTTAAACAGCAGGAGGTTCTTGAGGAGACAGCTATGATGTAAAGTCTAATTTATTTTTGGTACAGAGCTTTGACATAACAACTGAAAGTAACAGTTACTTGGTTGTGGTATAGAATTGAACTATGTGCCAGGAAAACATATAAATCCCCCCGTTAAATTTTACACTGTTTTCCCACCTCACCATGAATATTAAAGGGGTGTTGGTTCAGATATTCAAAATGTGCTTACATGTACATTTCTTTTGTGTGTGTGTGTGTGTGTGTGCTGTAAGGCAACATTGCAAACCACTAAACTACTGTGCTGCCGTAACTCTGTCTGCATTAAGCTGTGGTCTTTTTACAGTTTTGCAACGATTGTTCATGAGTGTAAAGTTTATGTTCTTTTAGTCAATCACATTACTCCTCAGAACTTTATTTAATTTTGTCTGAAGAAAATGGCTGATTTAACTGAAAACAGCTAAAAACATTTTATTTTCACAATGCTTTAAAAGTTTTGTAATCTTGTTTGTTGACAGCACCTGGTTACTTTTATTGAAACTGTAAATTTAGTATTTTCTTGCATGTTTAATGTATAAACTGAGATTAAAACAAAAGGTTTGTTCTTATTGTCTTTATACTGCATGAAGAGACTTAATGATTATTGTATCTGGATTAAATAAAAGAATATACACTGTATATTGCTTAAACAGGCTAACATGAACGCTGAAGTTTCTCTTTCCATTATTAGAAAGAAAAAAGGCAGAATATGGTTTTATGTCTTTATGCTGATGTACGAAGTCTTTGAAGTTTAACAAGGGAAGTCTTCTGGCACTGCAACACGAGTTTTCTAAACTATAAAACTAACCTGACTGACTATGTTTAGTGTGGAATTACGAATCAACCTAATATGACCACAAAAAAACTTTTTTACAGGAGAAAACAACTTTCTGAAACAACAGCAGGAAAGATCACCAAAAAAAGACCCTGAAAAAAAGAACGAGTGGGGAATTTTATGCGTGCGTGTGTGCACAACATCAGCTTCTCATTAATATTATCTAAAATGTGTCATCGGGTTTTTCCCAAAGTTTTCTCAAAACAGTGATGAAGTAACTGGAACATCACCACAGAAAATTTTAAACTGATTTAAAATTAAATAAATTCTGTAACTTTCACAGATCTTTCATAAAGTTTTAATATTCAAAGTTTATCTGAGTACATGTATTTGTAATGTTCTAGGAGCTACTATACTTCAGAATAAAATCAGTATACAATTCCTAATAATACCTACTTAAAACTGTAAATTAAAGCAGTCTTATTCTTAGGATAAATAAATAGGAGGTATTCATTGCCTTTACAGTTTTTACAAAAAAAGTTAAAGACTCCATTGTATGTGTTAAAGTCAAATTAATATTGTTTTTTTTTTCTTTTTTGCTTTTCTATAAAGGATGGATTAGGAGCACATTAAAATTAATTGGCAATTTATGTTCATAAATAAAACCAAACAAAACATGATTTGCTCATAGATACAGAATAAATACAATATTTTAAATTGTTCTATTATTAGTAAATTAATATAATCTTGAATATTTAACTAAAACTGATGAATGGTTTAGGCCCCTCTCACACTGAATGGGGACCTCACTACAACATAAAAAACTACTAATGCTTATGGTCTTTGCAGGGTCTTGGTGAAGATCCTCATTAGATGCAACATAAAGCATGATAAGGTCACTGGTCTATTTGTCTCTTTGGCTACGTTCACACTGCAGGTCTTAATGCTCAGTTCCGATTTTT